TGAACCGCTATGCAATCCTTTAGTATTTCCTTTGAATGGAAGAACTGTAACTATTTCTCTTTTTTCAAATTCCTGGTAATTTTCTCTGTGTGTTGCAACAGTCCTCAGGGAATGGGAAAATGAGAAATAAATCTATTGCCCTTTACACCTTTATGCTGACTGTGTCTCATTCTAGATATGTCTCCTGTGAGCTTGTGAGTGCTGACGACCTCTCTTCTTGCTGCTCTTAATATCAGCAGAATGGCTGCATATTAAGCCAGAAAGTGATCTAATCAACATTTCTTGCCAATTGCACACATCCATCTAAAAGAACTCTGCTTTATGCAGCCGCTATGAATCGTTCCTAAATTAGCTGGGATTGAGACTGTTAGCACATTGAGCTGTAAATATTCTCACTGTTTCTGGTCCAGGCTTTGATTTTTTATGTTATGACATTTCCTCAGCTTCAGAATTTTTGTCTTCAAAGTTATTTCTCTGACTGTTCTTGTGTCACTTTAGCTTTTTACCATTAGCTTCTTAATGTCTTTTTTTTGCCCTCTTTACTGCGCAGACTGATCTTTTTTTATCCTCTACTGGGGGTTAGTCTACCCCTCTTCTTCCCATTTTTGCAAATCCATATGGGAGGAGCTGAGAGCTTCCAAAATTCATACTGAAATAAAAAATTACCTGTGGGCACCTTTTCTCATTAAACAAGTGTACCAATTACTTTACCAAGCAGTGAGTCCTAAAGACAAACTTTTGATCCACAATTAATTTTCTACTTAATCTGTCAGGGAAACCATAATAAGATATTTTGTACCCAATGGATCTGCTGCTACAGATAGTAGATATGACTTGCACACAAGCAGCTGACCGTAGTATATTCAAGGTGTACTACACACAGCAGAAGCAAGACCAAAACTGTCATTGTAAATACAATGCAAGTTATCCAGTACAAGCTGGAGGACAGACCTACCAAGTTTCCATCCTACCCAAGTTTATAGGGCCCCAAAATATTTTCAGATTCTCCAAAGTCTGAAGTTTTCTTTTTAATATATGTGTATAATGCCTATGGCAGTAATTTCAAAATTACTGTGGCTGAATTTTGGAAAGTATGCCGTTATGCAACATATTTGTTTAGGCCGTCAAACCTATCTGGAGTTCCCAGTGGTGCAAGTGTGGTACATCTCACTCTGTGTGTGAGTCCATTTCAAAGTCCATGTGCATACGCATGTGTGTTTCTCCCCTCTTTGGATACTATACTAAACTTCCGAATACAAAGTGATTATAACTCTCAAGGTAGTCGACCAAGAGAAAACCTGGGACAACAGCTTTGGGAAATGTCTATTCACCCATAATCCAACCAGAATGTTGAGTTTAGAGTTGAGTCAGCAGTATTTTGTCCATGTTATCAAGCAGATTGCTGATGAGAGGACACTGAAACATGCAGATAGAGGAGGAACTGGAGGGTAGGAAGGGAGAGAGAAAAAAAGAGAAGAAGAAAGGAAATGGAGAAGGAAAAAGAGGAATGCAGAGACATGATATTTCCGAAGATGATATTTTTCTTCTGTCCTGAATGTGAGCTATTAAAATATATTTACTGTGTAAAAGCCATGCTTTTTCCTTAGACTTCACATTTTATTGAATGTTCATCTGCAGATAAAAAGGTGAAGTATAAACCTACTTTTTTCACCCTGATCAACAGAGTGAAAACATGAAAATGACAATCTGTAAAATGAAAGTGACATCTGTGCTGCTTCGCCTTTTCCAGGAACGTCCTGTTAGTTTTTTTTCAGGTGTTTCTGAGAGCACTGGAAAGGCACCCATTTTCCACCGCATCCTTTTCTGTGTCAGGGGAGTTGTACAGTGAATGGGGTATGGCATTATGCCACATTGCTAGCTTTTCTTTTGCCTATGCCATTTGTAGGCTTTTTTATTTCTACTTTGTGTGTGCTGCTGCCTTCCACAGTATGGAGACATGGGGAGGGAACATATAGTCCTTTGCAATTCGACTTTTCAATCACTTGCAAGCTACTAATAAGCAGAAGGTATAATGTAGACATCAAGCTGTCTTGACTGACTGGTGAAGAATCAAAGCGATGTAGGTACAATCCAGTAATTGGCAAGACTGAACATAATAACTGTTCTCAGTACTTTTAATTTAATTGGAATTTCCTTGCCTGCTGCAGTAAATGAGGAGTGACAAAGCACAGAAATAAAATAAAAGGTTATAAATCTATTTTCACACTAGCCTAAATGGTGTTGGTGATATTATTTTTCTGATCGGAGCTATTATAAAAGCTTCAAAGTTCAGCTCCAGGATTTGTTTTGAATATTTACTAAAAGGCCAGGGCTTTTTGCAGAGCTGTGGCAAATGCTCTTCTGTTTAAAAAGCTGCTGTTCTTCAGGCTTTGCTCAGGAATGTTGTCTGTGAAGACTGCTCACGAAAGCCTTGGCAGCCCAGTCCCACTCCTGTAGTAGATCAAGGAGGATGGTTTGAGATCCTCACCCCAAAGCTCCAGTAAAATTGGATTGCTGAAAGCACTCACAAGCTGTTGTCCCTGTGTGGTTCAACAATTGCATATTCAGTTAAAAGGCATAACTACAAAATATAAAGAAACAAAAACCTACAGCTACTGCACACAGTATTTCAAAGCAGGAACTTAAAAGCAGCATTCTTGCAACTGTCACAAATTGTTGGCTGCCCCTGACAATCTCATTGATTTAAAAGGAATATGAAGCTGATTAGTACCTTGCAAGATCAGGCATATTGCCTTTTAATTTTGTCATCCAGGATAATTTTTTTTTATCCAGGAAACAGTAAATTAGATAGGCATGATATGGAATCATTCCATATGGGCAACTCAACTGCAGAAAGTCTATTTGCATATACTCGACAGGGTGTCTCTATCAGACTTTAAATAGCCATCCTGTTGCTAGAGATGTGCCTTGGTGCTTGAGTTTCTGCTGTTGTTTTGGATAATCCTGACTTCTCATTAAAATCTCCATTACACTTAATGTCTGACATAATTAGAAAAGGAAGGGTAATTTGTGTGACTGCCCCATAATAACAAATAAATAATTTACCAAACTAAGAGTTCATGAAAAGCATAATAATTTTGAAATGCTTCTATCAGTAAATCATATGGAAATGGTAGTCTTGTAATGGTAGTCTGGAAAGTATTCAAATATTTATTTATAAGTCATTCTAAGTTTTAGCAAAGCTTTTTGTCATTTTCTGGTGTTCTAGCACTGTATAACATGCTGAATATCTTGTTAAGATGTACATGTCCTTCTCTGTGTAGCTGACAAGGCCAAAGAAATCTTTGGTATAAGGCTGATGTGTGTTCTTGTTTTACAAACTGGTATTGTCATGGTTTTCACCCTTGCCACTTCAACTTCTTTAAAGTTTGTCTATTTTACACAGAGTCACCCAACAGGGCACTGACAGGCACCCACTTGTTTCAAAAAGAGCTTTATAATTTACTGATGAGAGAGGTTATTTAAATGCCAAGAGTAAGAACTTTGGCCTTATGTCTTTAAATGACAGCATATAATTATGAGGTAGCCTGCGTGTAGCACTGTATCACGCTTTTTTTTCCCCCTTTTTCTTCACTTGTGCCAGATTCATTGATGTATAGTGCGGTTAGTTCCCTGACTATGAATACTGAGGTCACAGAAACCATAGAAATATGGATAATGCCAAACTCAGTCCAATAAAGAAAAAGATTTGCAGTTTGGGGCAGTAAATATGGAAACAAGCTATTGCCCTAATGCAGATAATTATAATTTAACCTCATACTTTAAACTTCTGTGCTTGCGCAAACCCATTCAAAAACATAACCTCCTTGGCGGCTCTCCCTGAAGAGCAGAGGTGGTTGTACTGGGGAGGGCAAATGCGCTTCCAGCTCCAGTTCTTCTTCCCACCTGTGCCATGTGGAAGTCTGAACAGCTTTTAAAAGGGACCTTCTGAACCACAGGCTTAATACGCAGTGATTCATGTGCAAATCGGAGCTACTGCTCAGTGACGAAAATGGGGATGTGAATGTGAGGTGGGCCTCAACCATCTCCTTCAACCTCAGGAAGACCTCTAGGATTGTGGACAGAAGAAAGGGAACTGGGGATTTAAGCATGAACAGCAACAAGAGTGTGGATGCAGAAACTGTTGTGATATTTAATTAAAAGTTTAAATGTATTTTACAGTTTTACAAAAAAAACAAAAAAAAACCACACAAAAAAAAAACCCCAAACAACATTCATCTGCGTATATTTATAGAGGCTCTCTTGCCATTAGTAAAGAACACTCTATAAAGCTACCAAAAATGCTGTCCAAATAGGCAGACGGCCCCTAGGTATTCTTCAGACATCTTTATGCATTCCCTAAAAATATCCATAGACACACAGTACACTTTTCCATTCTTCCATGATTTCTGTTTCTCTAGCAACCTTGTTTCACATACATTATTGTTACACTCCCTTTTGAAAACCACCAACGACTGTGTATCAAAATAAGTGTGCAAAAGTCATTCCTTTATGCTAATAGTGCATTTCCAGCCCCCTATATCTGTTCTCTGTCTGTTTGTTCTTGAAACCCACCTGGCTGCACAAAGGCCTCCTATCAATTCGGGTAGATATTCTTCTTCACTAATTGGTTAATCAGTTCTCCTTTTTCACCAATTTTCCAAATTCAGTGTCATGCCAGTTGTCCACTTAGGTTGTCTTCCTTTCCAGTTCATCTGTTCCCCTCTCTACCTTTCCTTTAGTTTAGTTCTCAGGCTGTTTCTTTAAATCTGCTCATGCATCACTTCATTTTTCAACTCTTTTCGTCACTTATACCTGTTTTAAAGCTGTTCACTTTTTTCTCCTTTCCAGCACAGCACTTCACAGTCCATTACTTCATTCTTCAGAATTATTTGATATTGTTCCCAGTTTACTTACTCCATTGAGTTATTTGATCTTTATCCGTAGCTAGCCAAATAATGCAAAATAATCCCTACTCCAGCTAGAGAGTTAGTAGCCAGCTCTCCTAAATTGATCAATTCATGCATTACTTTACTGGAATTCATCGGTTTTACTCTTGGACTGTGCCCCACCCGGTTACTGAACCGGTCTGCCTAATCACAAATTATTTAGAAGCACAAAAGCCATTTTAGGCCAAGGTAATTTAAATGTGGATTAAAAAAAAGACACGCCAAGCACTTTAAAGGGCACAGAGCTTAAATCTTAGATTAATGATATGGATAGAGTGATCTTTTGTAGCATCTTTTTAAAGCTGTGACTTAAAAGAAAGGCTGCCGTTTTCTTCCCTTTTCTAACTGAATTGTAAGGCTGAGAAAATCTATTTAGTCTAATCTCTGGAAAATGGATTTCAGATGATTTGCATCCTGCCGAGCATTTTGTTATCATAGAATTAATATTTACACTCATGGTTTTAAAACATGAACAATGCAGTATTATATCATAATAAAAGTGGTGCTATAAAAATATGATCAATTATGATTTATCCTTCTAATCCCTAAGCATTATAATTGACAGGTGTTTTGCCATTAAGTTTGCCTTTTTAGATTTTACTTTTTTTTTATTCCATGAAATTTTATTATGAAACTGCTTGCAGTGTGCAAGGCTATTATCAACAAAGCAGCAAGGCGTTAGTCTGTAAATACTTAATAAAAAATTCAATTTCTCACGATATTTGCAGATGTAGATGAGTGCAGCAATGAAGGAACTGTTGCCTGTGGAGATCATGCAAACTGTGAAAACGTGGATGGAGGGTTTAACTGCTCCTGTAAGGAAGGTTATCAACCATCCACAGGAAAATTGCTGTTTAAGCCAAATGATGGCACTTCCTGCCAAGGTACATGATATTATAAAGGTTTATGTGTTATTACAGAGCTACATCTTCTGAGAAACCCACTGGTGCCTCTTTATCTTCAGTTAGATTAATCAGCGAGACATCAAAAAGAGGCAAGGCAGTGGCATCTACATTTCCTGAGAATAGAATCATTTTGTAAATGTATTTTTGCTAACCAGTGTGACGAAATCCATTTTAAATAATGGGTACCTCCTCATAGCTGTCAGATTTGTACTCCTCTGCACATTTGAGCTGCCTCTTAACTTCACCTGTGGAAGACCCAAGGAAAGAGGCCAAACTCTCTACCTGAGTAAAACAAAATCTCAGAGTCTAAACCCGTGCTGTAATTTTGGCCAAGGTAAAATCTTTCTTGTGGAAGTTTGGGAATGGAATGCTGCATCTTATGTGCATAAACTCAGAATGCTGGTGGCTTGGGAAATTGCTTAGACAAGAGCTCGTACAATGAGTATATATTGAGTATTGATTAAACTGCAATATATAATTAGTTTCTTTCTAATTCCTACAGAAAATCCGAAGGCCAAGTGTGAGCTATACAAAGACTGTATAACTGAACACATTAATAGAACTTTAGCTGGAGTAAGTAGCATTGGTTTATAGATTAATTTCCAAATCCTTTAATTGTCTCTATTTGAAACTCTTATTTCAATTATAATAGTTCTTAAGGAGCTTTTAACAAATGTTTGAAGCATGCAATTGAACTTAAGCATGTTTACAGAAATTTTTTAATAATTTCAAATTATTTGAACTGAGTTGTACGTTCAAATCATGATGACAACTTGCTGGGAATCTGTGTGTTCTCTTTCCAGCAAAGTGATGCATGAAAAATTCAGAAGTGTGGTAATCACTCAACTGTTTCTGTAATTTCTGAAGTTACACATTGCTGCATTTACTGATGTGCAGTTATTTGCTTGTTCAGAGTGAAAGGCAGCAAGATAGCTTACAAAAGTAATGTCAACAAGTCACAAAATAGAAAATGGAGCAATAACATCCTGGTATGTAAAGATGTACAGAATTTATAGACTCCAACACTCTGAACTAATGAATTTTTTTTCACCAGAAGCAGATTCCTGAAGCAAATTAAAAATATTAATGAAATTGCTATTTATCAGTCTACAGCTATAGTATTGTCTGATTTAGAAGGATAAATGAAACTTAAGCATAAATAAATTAAAACCAGTTGTATATGTTTGTATTTCATATCAAGTTGCTTGCCAAAGCTACAAGATTCAGAAAGATACCAGTTTAAAGGCTTTCATTTACTTAGTGTAAGATATACATTGTATTAACATGCTTTCTTTGTTAACCTTCATTGCAATACACTGTATTAAATATAATACATGCTTTCCACATCTACGTGCAAAGACATGGTAAATGCCACAGCAGGATCTTAGTGAGGGTTTTTTTTTAAATATGTAGTCAAAATAATAATTCAAAATAATAATTCAAAATACCTCAATTTTATGTAAATAATAGTGTGCCAGATTTTAGCCTAGTTTTTTGCCTGTGTTCTAGCTCTATTCAGCTGCAGTCAAAGACGAAGCAAGTCCCATACAAGCTGTTCAGTAGCAGAGACTACGGATCTTACACAAATCAGGTGTTGGGGGGGTATTTCAATGGATTAAAATCTCATTAGATTACAGTATCATGAAGTAAGAACTATTTCTTTTATTCAGCAATGAGATTAAAACTTGCAGTCTTAATCTTCACCTCACCCTATCTAGCCTGTTTCTTTTGAGAATAATTATTTTGTGTAAGTGCACTAAGCAGTTCATAAACTGAAGCAGTGAAGGTGAAATGGGCAGTACAGTTTCACTAAGCTATATGCTTTATAATCTGCGTTTGAAAAAACCAACTACAAAATATACAAGTATTGCCCATCTGCTCGCACCTCTTCAGCTAAAATTTAACAGAAAAGAGTCAACGGAGTAACCATATCGCTGATATTTAATTATTTTTGCAGAACATTTACTAGTGCATTTTGGAGCATTAGGATACATAAAACTGAGCTGCAGTAAGAAAAAAAAATAATGATAGCACATGACTTTTTTTTTTTTAACCATCGTTGCTTGCTAGGGCTATACCAGACATGTGTAGCACTACTTTATAGGTCAACCTGCTGATTTAAATAGTGCCTCTCTTTATGCACAAGCATCTTAAAAGCCAGTATGTTAATTCACAGTTTCAGTTTACTTTGACTTCTAGAAATGTGACTTTACCTGTTTCATTAAGATGCCAGTTCTTGTATTTTTCAGATTAGTCGTTTAAAAACACCCCTGGAGATGTTACAAGAAATTCATAAACATACTTTGGGACCGCTTTTACCTGTAGATGTGATTTCATATGTTGAAGCACTATCTTATTCATCTCTGAATACCATGCATTACTCCATTTCTGACAACGAAGCAATTAGTAATTCAACCATTAATGTGAGTGGATCAAGCCTTTAAGTTGTGTGGTTTTTTCTTATTTTACAAACAGTGTATGACTCTTCCACTTAAAAATATTCTTTTATTTACAGGTTTTGGTTAACACTGTAAACAATTTTTTACAAAAAGACAAAATGACAGTCTGGGAAGCTCTTCCTGTAGATAGCCAAAGACGGAGCCTGACTAAGCTGCTGCATACTGCAGAACAAGCAACACTTCTCATGTCACAGAACTTCAAAAAGACAACACAGCTAGATGCTAATGCAAGTGACATAGGTAAGATAAAGAAAATTAATCTAAGGTCTACTTTAGATGTGGATTACACTGAGGAGCTTTTCAGCACAGTTATGAAGATTAGAAATGGTGTTATGTGAAACACACAGGTGTTAATTTGTATGAGTTTCAGAACTAACACCTGACTTTCAGTGTAGGTGTTATGATTTTCAAAGATGGAACATTGAGCCCAGAAAAAACTCGAGTGGCTGTCAGAACCTGTCCTTTTAGAGTCTCTTTCAATCTCTCATTGTAGTCACATTGTCACAGTGAATCTGGATGTATCTTATATGCATAAACACACCAATGGAATGAAATGTGAATTTGCTCTACACAGCTTTTTACTCGTTTTGGTTCAGTGAAGGTACTGTAAATGAACTTGGAATAAGGAGTGTATCTAGTAAGTCAAATTTTGTGTGGCTTTATTTTCAGAGGAATTTCAGAGGAGGAGAATTGGTCAGTTACTACTGCGCCATTTTGCTGTCCTACCTTGCCCTGTCTGCTGGTGTCTTTGTACCAAGTCCTACTGATTCTCCTGCAGTAAGGGTTTAATTATTCCTTCAGTGGAAGCAGAGTAAGGCTAGTACCAGCCGCTTTTGAAATTCCTAATAAAGCATTGCTGATTCCTTTAGCAATGGCCACTCTTTCATGTTTGTTTTTCTGAATGTACTCAAACTGTATGTGACCTGATTTCTTATTTTAGATTCAGTACAGTCCTTCAGTGCCTCTTACTGGTTTGCTGTTTTGTAAGATGACTTGATGAGAAAGATTCCTCCTTTGATCCTGAGGCAGGTCAAACTACCTACTCACCTTTCTGAAACTAAATTATCAAGAGTGATGAAAAATTAGGGAGGGATTTGTTCCATGGCATAGACTCTGTAGAAGCAGATTTATGTTAGTGCGGCGCACCTCTGGTCTGCAGCAGATCCGGAGTGGTGCCGGGACCTGGTTGTAAAGCCCCTCATCCTCCACCACCCTGGCTGAAAGCAGAGGCTCTCGTGGCCGCAGAGCTGAGGCCATGAAGGTCGAGAAGAGAGAGTTCAGTGCAACCTCCCGTGGCAGTGTAGATGTCAGTTAGACCAAGGCAACAAAAAAAGCTAATAAAGAGGATGGGAAGGAATTTTCATGTTGAAAGGTCGATCATTTTTTTGGCTTGCTTTTGTTCCAACATGGGAAATTCTATGAACTCTTTTCCAAATTGTCCCCAAACACTAAGATTTTCTGTTATTGATTCTCAGCATGAATGTATTTCCTGCAGGGCTTATGCATGCCCCACATGTCTATTTTGGGACAAGACCCACAACATTACCCCTATCTCTCTGATGATTTTCATGGTACAAGCTCTTGAGCTACAAGCTTTTCAAAACACCAGCCACAGAAAACTATTCCTTATGTCCTGACAAACATTTCCTGACAGCTGGTCTATTGAATAGCTCATATTATTTTTGTGTGCTGTGCTATAAGCAATGCAGATGGTCTAGCTTAGTGATATTCCTCCATCAGTCAAGTTTTAGATTTGTTTGTTGTTGTTTTGCTTTGTTTTTAAAAAAGGCCTGATTGACTTTTTTTTTGTTCCCATCCTGGGTGATTGAAACTCAGCACTATAATGAACCAAGTAAAGAGCTCAATGTCCTCTAATGTAGTTTTTGTCCTGCAGGGTGATGCTTGTTTGTTTGCTTTTCGACAAGACACATCATTATTTCATGGTGCAATGTGCATTTGGTAGCATGGATAGATAACTATAAAATATATACTTTTCAAAAATTGGCTTTTATCAAATGTTACTATTCAGTAGAGAATTTTATTCTTTGCTTTTTATAATTGTGATTTGTGGTCCCTTTCAGAAATGCATTTCTAATAAAGCAATAGCTCTTCCTAAACTAACCTACATTATCCTTTCCAGTGCCTAATTTAATGCAAGGTAAATAAAAGAACATATTTTTCATGGAAAGAGTAAAAAGTATGAGAGCAAAATTCATGTATGAAAAAAAAATAACAAAACATAGAGATTTAAGCAAACTTTCTATAATAATAGCATTTTTCTTGAAATATTTGGCACAATTTTATATCCTTAAAATTCATTATAATTATGCAATCCAATAACACATTTATTAACACGACTGTAAATTATGATGGACTGTAATGGAGCTGTGATTTGTGCATTATTTTTCTTCTTTTGCAGCCCTCAAGGTTTTTGCTTTTGATTCACACCACATGAAACACATTCACCCTCATGTATACATGGAGGGAGATTACATAAAGATCTCTCCAAAGAAGAGAGAGGAATCTCATCCTAATGGTAAGAAACAAAGGTTAGAGAGTAGATGGGTCAATAAACACCTTGGATAGACTTGTACCCACTAGTAAATAACCAAATGTGGAGTCTGCTGAGGACTCAAGGTATTTTTATCACCTTTCTTGTCATTTTACCCCTTTATTGTCTCAAGACTGACATTTACAATGTTTCCAGTGGCACAGTGAGTGTCCAGTGAGTTTTGACACTGGTTTTGGTACCAGCGACCAGAGTTTTATCCTTTTTTCAGCCATAGATCTGCTGTGTGACCTTGGACTGGCCTCTTCAACTTCCTCTGTCACTTCTCCAAAAATCAGTGCATCTTTTCTGTTTAGAGAGTATCTCACCGGGGCAAGAACATGTATTCTTCAGTACCAAAACCAGCAGGGTCCAGATCTTGGCTTGGACCTCAGAGTGCTACAGAAATAGCTTACAACTGCTGTCATCACTAAAAATAAATAAATGTGTTTAAACAGCTCTGGAATTAAACCACCTAGCTTAATAAACACAGAAATTCTTCTTTTAAGTCTTAATCTACCAGCTAATCTGAATCTTATCACCTATCAGTATCTAAAATCACGGTTTATCTTAGTACCAGGGAGAAAAATCATAACATTTTTTCAGATCAGCACTGCGTTCTAAAATACAGTTTGCTTTCTTTTTCCTTATGGGTCTTTTATCCTGGCACCACTGTAATGGAAGTCAAAGCAAGCCAGGTACTTCAGAGAGGCCCAATATTTACCTCAGATCTGAGTCACTTTGGTTTATGTGACCTAACACCGCATATGTAGCCAACTGCAGAACACCAGCAAGCATATATTACTCTGGAAACAACGTATGTGCTTATATCTAGTTAGAATTTCCAATGCGAACACACATTTTTATTTCTAATGGCAGTTACATTGTTTTAAATAAAGCTATATTTCATTGTCTCTATAACATTTTTATAAGTATTCCACAAAGATTCCATCTGTTTTGCATATTTTATGCAACAGCAGTAATAATGTCAATTGTTTATCGTTTCCTTAATGTCTTCAATTTTGTTCTTCTATAAAAAAGTCCACAAACTACTAAATGCGGTCTGTTTGATTGATAGGCACCGTTGCAGTTGTCTTTCTGCGGTACAGCAATATCGGTTGACTGACAGAAAGCTCATCAGTTATAGCTGTTGCAATTAGCTCAAATCCACCTACACTCTATGAGCTTGAGAAAATAACATTTACCTTAAAGTATGCCAAGGTAAGGGGTTTTTTTTATTATCAACTGCAAATAGAAGAAAACAATAGCTAATTATTTTATGTGATGTGACTATACTTGCAGTGTATGATATATTGAGACATAATTCTGTTGTTTGCTGATGTGAGTTTTATCTTACTAGAGAAATAAATGACAGTCTCGAATGTGACAACATAAGTACAATATACTAAATATGATACGGCTGAGAAGTGTTATGGACTAAAGCAAGGGCAACAATGCCATCTTTGTTGGGGTGTAGTATGAATAAAACCTAGATGCCTGAACCAGAGAATATTACAGGATCTTGATTATTCTGTATTTAGGTGGGGTTTTTTTCTGAAAGTTTATCAGATGGTTAAGCATGCATACTAAAGTGAAGAAATGCTTCAAAGTTAATGCAAAAAGTTCACCTGGAGCTAGGAGTTAGTAGCAGGACCTATAGTATTGCAGTGCTGTTATTTCTAAAATCTGAATGCGTTTATTTAAAACTGAGGGTTTTACTTCCAGTAGATATACATTTTTCTGACTTCTGCATGAAGGATCATCTTACATGGCACCCAGAATTATCAGAAAGAACAAGAAAGTGACTCTGTAGGGAGGCAGTGGGACAAGGTGTTAACCTTGATTATGCAGCTTTTAAATTTGTTACTTGCCTTCTAATATTTAAGCCAGAGATCCCCTTTATATACATTTGCATATATATACACAGCATCTAGTACAGTGGAGACCTTATCTCCGCATAGTGCTAGTAAGCACGAACCAAAATAAATAGTACTGATGGTCTTATCCATCGCTGTTGTCGCACCTGATATAACAGGTGTGTTATGACCCTGGCTTTATTCCAGATTACTTTCTAAAATGCACAGAATAAGTCCCAGTTTTTGAACTGCTTGTTTGGAAGGGACTATGAGAAGGACAAGCAATGTGGCTGTAACCTTGGGGTTTAGTCCATGAACAATGTTTTCAGTAGGTAAAAATTCTAACACCTTTGCAAGTGCCAGAAGGGTTCTGGAATCTGATTAGCCTGCGTGTTTGGTGGGGTGTGTTAGCTGTGTGGATAAAATGCTTCCATTCCCAGCCATGTTTTAATTGCTTGGAAGAGGCCTTCACAATGTGCTTTTTGTTTCCCGACTTTCCAATGGTAACAAGCGATTTTTAATGAATTGCGCTGACAAATGCAAGAAAGGTCTCTCAATGGGAAATATCCTGCCTTTTGCCATCAGTAAAACATCTTGTTTCTGTTCCAGACTGTGGATAAAGATATTAAATGTGCATTTTGGAACTACTCAGCAGACACAATGAATGGCAACTGGGCTACAGAAGGCTGTGAGCTGACACATTCCAACTCCACTCATATCTCATGCAAATGTAATCATCTGACTCATTTTGCTGTTTTGATGTCCTCAGGTGGCTCTGTTGTAAGTGCTATTTTAATTTAGTGTTTTACTTGATACTTTTTCCAGTTTTCATTCCTTATGTTTTTATTTCAGTGCAACTTATGTACTTTTCCCTCTTTAGGTTGTCTCTCATTTTTTTTCAGCAAACACACAATTTATTGTGCGCATAGCAAACAAAATTTCTCCCATATGTGTTTCAATTTCCTAATGTCCTTTCTGCAGTATTACAGAGCAGTGATGCAGCAAAGTATCTTGTTCCAAATACACAGTCTGTTGTGCTTATTTTTGGTGCATTGCTTTTAATTTTAAATCCCAGTTTAAGACTGCTGTGGGATTTAACTGGCTTTCATTGGTGGTCAGTAACCATATGGCCCTGAATTTCTCCCTCACAAAACCTTGCCACCCATTTGTCTAATGCTGGCATTTAAAAATCTGCTTTAAATTCTCTCCTGAGAGTTTGCAACAGCATAATCAATTTGAAGTTTATGACTATTAAACATGGACACTCATGACCAGCACAAAACTGTGAGAATGGCCACTCAATTTATATCCTTCTTATATTAAGAGGCCCCATAGATTTCCAGGCTCTATGTGGGGATCTGCAGGAGCTCAGGTCCTGCCTCAGGAGGCAGCTTTATAAGGTATCAGAACTGACAGCAAGCAGAATATTAGCATGAATATACTGTATCGAGACAGTTCTCTCACACTGTGAATTTCATGCTGATAGAGGCTGTTTCCTGGTTGCTAAATGGCATCCTAAGTCTTCAGTTCAGATTTAAAACCTTTGCAGGTGCTTATATAGTTATTTTGAAAAGGAAGGCTGGGAAGAGAATAATCTCTGGTCCTTTCTTTAGAAAAAAAAAATACTTAGATACATTTTATGGTTAGCTGAGTACTATCCTTATGCTGATGCGCAGTCATGTATTTCAGAGATTCTTTGTGTAAATACCAAGCAGCAAATGTAACTGTGTTCCTATACGGAAAATACTCACATCCAATATTAAAATAGCCTGTGTTTCTTCAGAGAATATTCATGCTACGTATTTGGAATAGCATTTGTTTGAAGTGATTGTTATTTCAGTCTTGTTTTGATCGTGTTGCAAATTCAGTAAGACGATTATTCAATTTTGCTTATCTAAGTCACTGCTGTGATAAGTCTTTTTATACTAGAAATGTTTATGTGATATTAAAATATGTCCTACTGCCAGTGTATTTATCATTCACTAAAATGATCTGATTTTTAAAATCATATTAGGAGATACTGATGTTAATAAACAGATTTGTTAAGAAATATCAGAAAATGCAAGAACAGGAATATATGGAGTTCATTACTAATTTCCTCTAGAATTATATGTGTCTCACAAAAAAACAATACTTTTTAGATTATCCAAAGTGTACATTTGCACTGAAACTCTACAAAGAGTTTTGATTAAAATTTTGTAGAAAAGAAGAAAAGAACTGTATTATAGAATGAGGTCTTTCTTGTGAAGGTACAAAGCTATTCTTTTAAATATTATATTGTAATTTTCCCACAGGGTGTTACAAATTATAACATTCTTACAAGAATCACTCAGCTAGGAATAATTATTTCGTTGATTTGCCTCTCCATGTGCATTTTTACATTCTGGTTCTTCAGTGAAATTCAAAGCACTAGAACGACAATACACAAAAACCTCTGCTGCAGCCTTTTCCTAGCGGAACTTATTTTTCTGATTGGAATTAATATGAACAATAATAAGGTGGGTAGTTTTCACTTGTGTCTTGATTTGTGTTGTAAGTATACAGTACAAGATATGAACTTCCATCTACTTCTAGTATTTCCTAGTATCAGTATGAATATTGTAATGACACTGACTTCACAGTCTAGTAACAGGAAATATAAAATGGTCATTTAAAGAAGTAGGGCCTTCTTCAGAGCTGCTGTATATTGACTTTGCTCCATGGGTTTCATTTAAACTTTGTCACCTTAACCAAGACTGTGGTCTCAATGTGTTTAGCATTTTCACTTTTCACATCCATTTGGATGCTGTACAAAGCCACGTTGGTGGCTTTCTGGGTGCCAGCTTTCCATAAAAGCTGGCATTTAAGATACTGTTCTGCTGGCTGGAGGACCCCTTTCCCTTCTACGTGTGAGGTCTTCACCTGTCCCTGTTGCTTTTCATGCAAGTTGGGCTGTTGATTCTTGCATCTCAGATTAGTTGTAGGAAATTATATTATGCATAGATTATCAAAAATACCCTCCTACAAATAGCACAGTTTGATTTAAATTTATTGAAAAAATATGAGCTATGATCCCTGAGGTAGCACTCCAGTATTGATTGAGAAATTTAATTTTACAAACACTTTGCAGCAAAAAATAAAAGTTATTTCAGAAATAATTCATTGCAATGCCTAATCACTTTTCTTTCAAAATCATTACAATATTTGTCTAGATCAGGAAAGCATACAGACTACTTAGCTGTAACTATGGGATCAACCTTGTCAATATATTTATGCACTTTCTCTAGCAAGATGTGCACCAATTTTAAAAGTAGAATATAGTCCTTTTTCACCAGTACCTACAGAAAAAACTAATGAACAAGTGTGCTTGTGGGTATAGGCCAAGTTCCTATCAATCAGCATTACATCTGGGCCGCTGAACCACCACCTTAGAGTCACTAGGTTGCTGTGCGTATGTTGTTACATTAAGAGACATATTAATAGAATTATGACTCTTGCTTTCTCTGATTGAATTTCTAGCTCTTCTGTTCAATTACTGCTGGATTACTCCATTATTTCCTTCTAGCTGCTTTTGCATGGATGTGCATTGAAGGTATTCACCTCTACCTTATTGTTGTGGGAGTTATCTACAACAAGGGTTTCTTGCACAAGAATTTCTATGTCTTTGGCTACGTCAGTCCAGCTGTGGTCGTTGGAATCTCCGCCGCATTGGGATACAAATACTATGGCACCACAGAAGTGTAAGTTACTGTTTCCATGTCCAAATCAACATATATAAGGAGGTAACAGTCACAACTGCACATTTCAAGGCATTTTCTGCTGTTTACTTTTCAGATGTTGGCTCAGCACAAAAAATAACTTTATATGGAGTTTTATAGGTCCAGCATGTCTAATAATTCTTGTAAGTATAATTTTCGTTTTTTATTGTAGTACATAAAACTGATAATAAAAGGTGTTTAATAATCACCCACCCATTGCCAGCATAGCTGTGAGTGCTAATTATAGGGCAGAAGTGGCTAATTTAGACCTTTTTATAGTGTTTCTAAATTATTTATATGCTGTACATCTAAATACTTTACTAACCTGAAAAAGGAATGTTTGACAAAAAAAGCTCAATATAAGATCAGAGCTTTTTTTCTTACTTGCTTGCTTGCTTTTATCCCAATGGTTTGAGCAATTCTGTGAAGCATTTCTGGTTTTTAAGGAGTAGCATCTTTGTATGTTGCTGGCATCTCAGCATGGCTCAGCAGGAGGTGTACACAGGCACTATCCTAGCAGACAGATAATCTGGTTTTTCAAATGTTGTATGACTTAATCTCTTACCAGTGATCGGTCATCTTTGTAAGATTACACTGCCATCTTTATGGTTTTATCACTCGTGTGTACCCTGTCATCATCAAAGCTATTTTAAACTAAATTGCGATGTCAGAGAAAAGAACCCACTATTTCACATGGGCAGACAAGTCAAGTATTGATAGCCCTATTTCAGCTGTGAAGAGGGCTTTTTTAATTCTTATTGGAAGTGGTTTCAAACCTGCAAATTTGGCAGGTATTATATGTTCAGTTCTGAATAGAGACATTTTTGGTGCCTCGGGAGCATTTCTAAGTGCTATAAAGTTTAACAAACCATTCCAACTGTAATGGGGGGCATTATTGTGTGTGACTGGGTTGACAGTGATCTGGCAATAGCTGGAGCTAACAGGAGGAGAAGGTGCAATGGTGAGGCCTTGTGACATCTGCGGTCAAGTCAGTTACAGCTCTTTGTTGCTTTTTAAGCTATTTGGTGATAAACGTGAGGATTTGTAAAAAAGAAGTGGCAGGGCCTAACACGCACAAGATGATAGTAAAACAATTTTATTTCAATGCATTAGCCATTTCAAGGCTCAATGAAGTAAAAGATGTAATTCTGGTCAAATTCCACCCCAAATTCCTCCTGTAGTTTGGGGATAGGCTAAGAGTGACCTGCCAGACATAACTGTGGGGTGATGCCTCCCCATGTCACCCTCCTGGTGAGCACAGCAGACTTCAAGAGAGGCAAGACACTGTGACTTCGCTTGGCTCAGTGCTTCTGGGGTCAGATGACCCTGATGGCCACGAGGTTACTACGCTAAAACATAATCACGGGGAGAAATCATCCTTTACGAGGAAATCCTTACAAATCTTAGGTTTAAGTTGATAATTTTCGATTTCTTCTTTGGACCTTATCTCTTTCTTCCATGAAGGCAGCAGGGTTGGGATTGTTTTGTTGTTGCTCTCATTCCTGTTCCTCGTCTGCCTTCAGGTGAAGATTTATGGGCAGTGATATATCTCTGCACTGTGAGCACAGGAAAACAGCATTGCCAAAATACAAAAAATGCCCCAAATTTATGTATCTGTAACCTTGTTTTCAGCTCCAGCTGAGCTTTGCCTGATGTGGGATCTTAGGTACAGAGTACAGAGGCAGAACAGGTCTGCAGTGGCTTTGATACAAGTCTAGCTGGCTGCAGAGGCAAATCCTGCAGGCTGGGCTCTGAGGCTCATAGCCGTTCTTTGAGCACTCCAGATCTTCCAGCAATCTCTGCGAATTAGAAGAAAAACAGGTGGTGATAGAAGTTGATACGGGCCCTATGCACCAGTGCAGTCCTCCTGTGGATGAGGATAGCAGCCAGACAGGTTCTTTCTTTTCTCCCACTCCTTTGCCTAACTGAAGCCACACAAAGGAGCTGTAGCTGGGCAGCAAACAGCCCTGTGGTGGTTTTGCCATTTTTTGTGTGTTGTGTAAGTATTTTGTCATAGCTTGTTTTCACAGTATTCACATACCTTTATTATTGTCTCTTCATAATCGTGCACTGCTAGACTTGGGAGGAAAGGCAACCTGCTTTCAGCAAAATGCTTCGTCTGCTCTGTGACTTTTTTGAGCGTTTGGACAGCTTGTTTTGGTGAGGTGACAGCAAATTGAAGCCTGAACTGCAAGAGGGATGTTTACAAAGAGTGCAAGGAGCTAGGTAATTTGCTCACGTTCTACCTAGGTTATCGTCTAAGGAAAATAAGGAAAATCTTATGAAAATGGGCACTGAGTCTAGAAGATTAAGTTGGTGTTAGATGTCTGCTCTGTGGAAGGCATGTTGGTGGCGGTAATTCTGTTTCCATTGGCTAGTCTTCCTGTTGAGCATACTGCATGGGCACCACCGTAACAAAGATTAAACTCTTTCCAAAGTGGAGCCACTCAGGAGGTCCTTTTCATTACAGAAGCCAGTCTCTTCCAAGTTTTCTATTCTGCCCACAGCTAATTAAAGAAAAAAAATGCTAAGTAAGGACTCTGAGAAGGAAATGTTATTTTTGTTCTGGGATAACCAGATAGGGCACAACAACATTCATATAGAAAGCTGCAAAATCTGGCAGCTTGAAGCTTACGTTTAATCCTGAGCTTTACTAATAGCATTGAGTTTGCAGGTTTTCCCAGCTAGCCTGGAGGGTTTGGATACCAAATCTCAGGAGAGCCGTTCACCACAAATGTGATTCTTGCACAAAAATGTTGAAATTGTCAGCGCAAATGCCCATGTACCCAAATGGTGCTTGCAGTTTCTGTGCATGGGGACCCAGGAGATTTTTGGTTTGGAATATATTGTAATATGCCTTTGAGACAGCATGTAAATGGTGAAGAACAGAACTGGTTCTGTACCAACGGATTTTCTGTCTCAGGACGCATTGTTTCAAACACATCCTTGGATTTATAATCTGCAGTAATAGTGAAGCACAGGGAGCTCAAGTGTTTATCAAGAGTACAAACTATGTTGTCCTCTGATTGCCTGAGCAGAAACACTACTTCTGAAGGTGTTTGCTTATTTAGATTACGGTCCTATTAGAATTCTTAAGTGCAAAGCAATGGCCTTATTGATCCCATCTAAAAATTATTATTATTATTAGATTGGTGACTGTACATGAAAAGGAGTAGGTGAGAAGCTCTTTAGATGGAGTTAGCAAAGAAAGGGTATTTTAAACCTTTGTAAAGCAAGCTGCAAGCTGAAGATAATTTCTACAACTTACTTCTTCCTCCTAATACTTGTAATCTTTAGAACCACAAACATTTTAGCTAAAACTATGCAGTAGATTAGATCAAAGCATACAAGTATGGAGAAATTATTTATAACAAGTATTTAAACTTTTTAATGGAAAAGTGAGTTTATCACATGCTTTAAGGGACAAGCATTCACACACACCACAACCCATGCCTGATTGAGGCAAATACAAATACGAGCTCCAGAGATAAAAGGTATGAAAATGAAAAAAAAAAAAAAGTCCCTGGAAGATTTACTTTTCTTTTGTAATACACTTGCAATAATGCTCTCCCTTTAATAAGAAGTGTGTAGTATGGAAATAATCATTTGTCTGCAGGGTAATGTGACTGCAGTTTTGATGAGTATGTAATGTAAGCCAATAACAAATTCCTTCCCCTTGTGGAGGACTTCTACAGGGCTTTCCCCACCTCTGACATGACAGCTTGCTCTGTGTTGAGTGGGTGCAGGCCTGTGTAAGGGCTTTATTCTGCAGCACTGACTTTTTTGGAAACTTCAGGTTTTAAACTCTGTGGACACAGAATAAGTCCCTCCACTTGTAGGTATTGTGAGGGATAGATTTATATTAGTTGTCCAGCTGGCAGTAGAAATGATATCATTTGGAAGGGTTAGGCAAAGACTATTAACATCGTACTTATGAAAGTCTACAAGTCACTAAAACGAAAATTTGGAAAAGAATTGCTGCTACTCCAAGTGCAGCTATAGGCAACGCTTCTACATACCTCTCTCCTACAACCTTCTACCATTAAATCTGTTCAGCTGAGCTTTGTGCAGCAAGTTTAAAGTCACCCACGATAACATGATTTGCACCTTTGCAGTACTGACAGAGTCATACAGACTTGACTGTTGTACCCTCTGTCACTGTCACAATAAATTGGCATACCTCTGTGAGGAACCAGGATTCAGAAGTGTGACATGTTCCAACATTAATAGGTGCAATTTTCCATTTAACAGTATAAATCTATCAGTATCATTTGTTGAGATCACTTCTGTAATAACAAAATACAGGCTTTTTCTTTGAGGGTGGAACATTTCCAAAATTGAACATCATCCAAATAATCCTCTTGTGGCTTTTATCCAAACATACTCGCGCTGTGCAGTGAGGAGGTGGCTCCTGTACGTTCTTCCTTGTTTTACTCCTCTAATGTGTATTTTCAGGGACCTTCAAGGTGTCTGGCTTGGCTTCAAACTCGAGTTTCTTGAAACAATTGGTAATTGTACTGTTTGCAACTACAAAAATGGCTTATAATGGACCCTGCAATTTTCAGAGCATTCTTGTAAACTTGGCTCGGAACACCGAGAGGTGTCTTCAGAAAAGCCAAGTTCTTTTTATTAAGCATTCCTGTATGTAATAAATGTAATGAATAATCAACTGTAAAGCAAAAATATTCTAAGAATTGCAGTGATTGATTAACCATACTGTTTTGAACTTCCCTTGTATAAATGAATGGGCAAATGAATAAAATATACAGATTGCAGTTGCAAAATACAAAAAAGTGACATATGAGTTATGAAAGCAGGCTAACAGTAGAGTAATGCTTTTCATTAAGGAACCGCCTGCATATTCATTAGAGCTAGTCAATTACTTAAAAAATACATTAATCAGATAATTTATTTGATGAATTTTACCATTATTTGTCAAATAATTTATTCAACAAAAAAGGTAAAATTAATGTAATAGTGTATTCATCAAATCTTATTGGACAGCTCTAATACTTATTCAGTTCTGTACATTTAGGTTGATTCAGGTTTAGTAATACCGCTGCAATCAATGTAGAAAAATTTCCTGGCAAATCCATTACTCTGCTGTTTTCTCATATACTCACAAATTTCATGTACTTAATCT